TTATTACTTACTTCTGTTTTGCAGAAATCCATTTGGTTTATTATGTGACTACAGTTTTTCCAGCGAATCAATTGCGATAAAAATATACCACTTTAAGAAAAAAACGCTATTAGCGCGACTGCCTAAAACCGCATTGTAATGGTAAATTGTTGTATATCAGGTGAGCGATTAAGAAAAGTTGCCGGCTGTACCTCAGAAACTATTTCAAGGAAAAAACATTATAAATTTATCTATTAATTAGGTGCAAATACTGACCAAAATTTAGTAGGACTAAAATACACTGACCACATTTTCAGTCGATTCCTAGTAAACTTTTGATAAATTCGCTTTAGCGGTTATTTTTTGCTCTAGCCAATCACATAGTGTGATTGGCCTCAGATAAGTATCGATAAAATATTGCCGGATCGGTTTAACTAAATTAAACATTCAAAATTTCGATACAGAGATCTTTTTTGGTCTTACTATTGTACAAAAAAAATGTTTTTGGATGCAAATATTGTTTCTGATCTTGCTAGAGAGCGCTTTTTCAAATATTGACCATCTTTGCCGTTTTTCTTCAGTTTTTTAAATGCACGGAGACACCTGGTTAAAGAGAGGACAAAACACTAAGCAAAACAGATACATTTTCATATCGGCATGTTAATCAAAAATATCTAGAATAAATTAATGAACTATGGGGCAATACGAACAATAAAATTTTGAAACATTTTCTTGGGAAAGTTGTCTTTTTCAGAATTCCAAAAAAAGTGGACGACAATTTTTTTCACATGTCCAATAAATTGATATTTAATGTGCCCTTAAGTGCTTTTTCGTACGAGAACACAGTTTCACAATGGTATTGTCGGTTTTGCCCCATAACTCGTATTTTGTTTATGGGTATCTTTTTTAATAAAAATATATCAATATGAACATTTCACTATTTCGTCTCATTTTTGCCCAGTTTCTAACGAGGCAAACATTTATATACCCATTTAACAAAATCGAAGAAGAACGACAGAGCGGGAAATATTTCGCGGCCAGAGAAAAAACCATATTGGCAAACCTTTTACTGCAAAAACAGAGCAAGCGACGAGTTTTTACCTATATTTTAAATGATAAATTTCGTGAAACGGATATTGATATATAAATACCTTTTTAAACCAATATGTGACTTTCCCCCACCAGTTTGTTTGAATGGCCAGAACAAAAAATGTTTAATTAAATTTACGTTCAAATATTTCATTAATCGACGAGGGTATTTTCAATTCATCTGAACTCAACTAGAACCGACAAAAATTAATTTTTAAATTACTTGTTGGAATTTTGGCAATTTTCGGCCACTTTTAACTTAAAATGAATTTTCAGAATTTTGTCTTGATCAGTTTAATAATATTTTCTTTCAGCTCAATATGTAAAGTTAATTTCTTATGAGATTCAGTCGACGACCTCTCGTAGTTGCTCACCCAGTACATATAAGAAAATCACTAGCTTTCATATTTCCCTAAAAAGAATTTTACACAAATCAGTGGAGAGAAAGCGAACGACAAATATTTTGTTGCCCAAAAATCCCTCAGGTTTAATGTGATAAGTTTCTTTCAAAAAAAAAAAAAGAAAACGGAACATAATTATAATTTATCTACCACATGGCACTTAAATATAGGTATATTTCAAAAATTTAGAAACATTTGAATAATCTACACCCAACTGTAGAGCATGATGACAGGACATAACGGAGTTCTGGACATGAATCTACCGACTAATTAACGACAGCCAAGAATGCCTTGCAGTTGGAGTGAAGAAAATTTGACGAAAATCACATAATGAGAAACCCATTTAATTCTTTAAAAATTGATTTAGTTTCGTGACTTCAAACCGAATTCCTAAACTTATTTTTATTAAGTTATACATTCTACATACACCAGCATATGTTAATTACAGGCAAATTTATTTAAATTAAAAAAATTAATTAGCAAAAAGAACTGAAAATATGATTCCAAACAAATGCACAAACAAAAGCAAATTGTGATCTATCCCAGCATGAGAAACAAATATTTATAAGCCGCTAAAATTAAGTCTGATTTAATGCAAGGATTACAATTGCTTTATCGTTGTGTTAAGGATATCTGTCTGGAATGGGTTAAGTGCCTCATTAGCTGCAGCTATCATACAATTAAATGATGATGAACTGTTTTTCGGGTTGAAACTATAAAATATTCTTACTGTTAGCTAGTCTAAGATTAATTGGACCTGGCAATGTGAATTGAGCATACTTGCAGTTGAAACTTCAGTTTATTAACGTGCTCACGCTCATCAGTTCAGCAAGCTGACTTTTCTTCATCAACTAGAAGACATTGAATCGAAAGTTACACGTGAATTTCATAAATAATTGCGGTTTATATTTGTTAACTCGGGCTCTGGTAAAAATAGAACTAGGTACTGTTGTGTTATTATAACGGAATTTCTTTGACAGCGCACATTCCATCTCAACCATTATAATGAGAAATCGTTGCCTCACTCGACCGAGTCTACAAAATAAAAAACTTTGCAACAAAGATTTTCTTATTCGGAAAAATCTTCAATTAATGTTCTCAGCGATACCTTCACAGTTACTAACTTACATACAGGGTGGAGACTTTAGTTCATTGAAGGGCCTCCTTGGCTAAGAAAATTTCATATTTAACGCCAACAAAAGCTAATTTGTGGCCTGGAATTACAAAATATAGAACTGTAGGAGCATTTTCCTTAAATTACACTTTTCACGGAACTAAACATTTGCATTTATAAATCTTTTGACTTTGACTTTTGACTAAAAAACTTGACGGTCGAGGAACTAAATCTTCTTCAGCAAGGTCTCCAGATCGTCCACCAAAAGTTTCAAAAAGAAGCTTTACATAAAAAAATAAAAAACCCAACAAAATAGCAGAACTGCCGAAAAGGACAAGGGAGATAATCAGTAAAACAACACCGCAAATATTGGCACATGTAAAAAACTAAACCCATCACAGTCTAGAAAGTAGGCAATAAGTGAAATTTTAGCAATTGTTACGAGGAAAATAAATTACGTCTTGACTTTATGTAGTTCTCAATCCTGTTAAAAGCTAAATTTTAGTCAGTGCGTTGAATACATCTTTATGCCAGATTTCCAAGCTAAATTGAGGACAAAAACATGTTGTGAGTGGTTTGAGCTGCTCCTGAAGAGCCATAATTTCCATCTTGCATTTAAAATATGGTAAATAAATACCTACATGAAAACATTGACGTGTTTTTTGCTTCAAAATTTGACTCCCTGCTAAATTTGACTATCGAATCTATTCCTGCTAAAGTCTTCACCAGAATATATTTTAAATCAAATTACTTAACTAATTTATTTGCAATAAGTGAAATAAGACTGTCGCAGCATAAGCCAACAAAAATTCTTAGTCCGTAAGTCTCAAAGTATTAAATTCAATCAAACAAGTTTATGTAATGAAGTGTGTATGTACGTAGTAAGTATTGAACTTACTAAATTTTTTAGATAAAGTAGCTCAATTTTTTTCCTAGCTGGTCGGTTGTGCAGATATTCCAAAGACATATTTCAGGTACATAATAAGACGAGATAGCTCTTCATAAATGTGTTATATGAAAGTTGATTTAAAGATTTTCATTATTTTTATAAAAAAATAAGGAATTATTATTTAAAATGTATTTCGAGTTAACGAAACTACACGATATTGAGTGGACATATAATTACAAGAGATTTGAACAGTACCCTTATTTACCCTTGCATCCCCAGGAGCACAAAAAAAAACAGAAGTAAAAAAAATTCGAATTATTCACAAACATTAAATTATGTCAACTCGTAAAATTGGCAACGAACGACATGCTAAATATTTTAACAAATTTTAAACAAGAGCTAATTCAAAGTAAACAATTAAAATTGCTGTTGTCGTTTACATATATATTTCTATGCTCCGTTAGAATATCCGACTTGCGGAAATGTCGAAACTTGTTGGTTTTAGTTGATGAATATTTAACTAAATGTATGGCTTCCAAAATTATCGAAGCTAATTTTAGTAGGAACATAGTTTCAGTTTCATAAATTGGTGTATTAAAGTCAAATTATTGACTCGTCTGACTTTAGATACTATTTAAAAATGCAAAACTTAATAGATCGTAAATTGCCCTAAAAATGTTTCCTGCTTCGCTTTGGATTAACAAAATTGAAAAAACAAACAAAATATTGCTTTTCGGAAATTGTTTCCATTCCACACTCCTCACAGAGTGAGATTTTTTGAAACTGTCTTCAAAATTGGAAGATTTTATTCATTTAATTTGTCAGTTTTATTCTCTTGAGAATCATCTCCCTTTTATTCTACGCTTGTAAATTACCCAAATTACTAAACCAGAATAGGCCACTTAAACAGGATAATTCACCTTCAATTAAAATTTAGCCCCTTTTTTTAATTAATAGCCAGGCTTTTAACATCATCGAGTTGTTCGAACAGTCCATTTTCCAGTCTAGAGATACATTTAACGTGTTTTGTTATTTCAGTGTATTTCAATATGGTTTTTGTTAGCCCCTAATTATAAAATACGCTTAATCGAGCAGACCATCAAGAATTAATCGTGTATTTAGTTACTTTTTAAAATAAAACAAAAATTTTTCCTCACCACAGAAGAGCGAACCGCACGGATTCAATTATTGCTACTTCGACACATCTTAAAATCTGATTCACTGTCCTTTTAGCTTTCCTCATTTTTCACCTCTGAGCCCTGGCCCCGTCTGCTTCTTTCTCTACTTATACCTTTTCTTGCCCTAATAAGATTACGCTGAAAAAGACGGATCGCACCTGCTGCGGAGAAAGGGATATTTTTCATAATTACGCAATATGACTGCAGCCATTTGTGTCATTTTTCAGCTCTGCTTGGGGCAATATTAATCAAATAAAACCGTTCAAGATATGTGAAGATGATGGAAAATTCGCCCAAAAGTGTCCTCTTTGAATATTACTTTATCGCTGGAATACTGATGAAATAATTACCTTAATATTTTGTCGTCGTTATCAAACTTTGGCGAACTCTCCCTATAGTGATAGTTTGATTGCTTGATTGCTATTAGCGGATGCTTGTCGGGTGGAACGTTTTTTTCTCTGATTCGATAGTGGCAGGTGACGTTCCTAGGGTAAAGTCCTGGGTAGTTTGGTGACTGAATTCGGCAATTTCTTCTCGAGCAACCTGAAACACAATTAATTATTTCATATAAAATGCTTTAAATCAACGCGTGACAATAATAAGATGTAAATCTTGAAACCATTAAATTAATAGTAACATAAAGTTGAAAGGTATAAAAATTTTAAATGTTTCAGTTATAATCTAACTTTATATGCCACGCAACGTTTCAAATATATTGTTTTAAGCACGTTATATTTTATGATTTTGCTCCGTGAAATATCCTACTCCAACTGGTGGAAATTAAAAGCTCCTGCGGGATCTCTTGCCGATATAAATTCCTAGATTAAGTGTGCAGAAAACCGGTTAAAAATTAGCGTTACTGCCGAACCTGTTGGAATTTTATGTGAAAAGTTGTGATTATTTGGTCATTTGCGCAATACTCGATTGAAAGTAATTTTTGGATCCGAATCTAATTGCCGTCTCATTTTTAAAGTGCGTTTTACTTGGTTAATATTACACCTGAATAGAACGAGTATTGCAACTTTTAAAGTTGTCACGTAAATAATAACTTTCAAGAATTATGAGAATTGATTCAAAGTTATGTGACCTAAAATTACTGAACTAACTGAAGTTAGAAGGTAAAACAACTTTAGACAACTAGGGAATACTCCACCACTACAATGCTTAGCTAATTAGCTTAAACCCCAGAAGCATGGGCCTTTATCCTAGCAGCTTTTATTGCTCGTAAAAACTTTTTATGAGTCAATTTGAGCACTATACTTAACGAATAATTTTAAAACACACGCTACATTCTTGAAGAAAACTCCGCCAACATTATCCCTGGAATGGGAAAATTAGATCGCAATTACCTATTGTCCCTCCACTCAAGTATTGGCAAAAGATTGCTGACATGATAGAGAAAATTGATTCATAAAATTTAAATAGAAATCCAATTACAGTCAGGTAATAGCACCGAAGCTTCTTTGCCATGCATGTATTAGATATGATTATAGAATCTCGGTGTGTTCCGCCACCGGCGTATCTAAGTCGTAAAATAACAGTTTTCAGGAAATATCTTGCATAATTTATTTACAAGCCAAGCAGCTTTCGTGGTTATACAGGGAGTTTCAAAAGCAATATCTACAATTTTAAAATTTAGCTGGTTTTGGGAAAAAAGCCCCGACTCGTCAATTTTGATTTGTAAATGCGATTTTTTATGATTCAGACACATGGCAATGTTCAAATTAAGTAATCATTCCGGAGGAAGCACCCCGTTCGGATCTCCGGGCGGAGCAAGTATGAGCAAGGATATGAAGACACAAAAACTCGGTCAATCAAAGAAATGGAGCGACTGAAAATTATAATTTTGGGAATAAGTGAAATAAGATGTCCAGATGCAAACTACTGTGACATTGAAGAATATATAATATATTACGGGACGTAGAAACCAGCGCAGAGGTCGAGCAAAAATTAGAGAAAATAGTCAGTCACAAAACATTAAAGAAATAAATACCAACAGCAAATATAGACAAGAGGAAACCTTGGAAGACTGAAGAGATACTGAAATTGATAGAAGAGAGAAGGAAGACCAAAATAAATAATGCCACGAAGTGCCAATATATTGAAATAGCACATTCAAAGTACGACACATTTGGTGTATATAAGAAGATCAAGGAAATAACAGGAAAATTCAAGAAGAAATCAATAGGTAAAATGGAAAATGAACAAGGCAAAACAATCGTAGACATCGAACAAATAAAATCAACATGGGAGGATTACGTGAAATAATTGTTCTCGGACAACAGAACAACAAATAAAAAACGCCATAACAGCACCGGACATCTTTTTACACGAAATTGAGGCAGCAATGATGACACTCAAGAATAGAAAACGGCGTTCCGGATAAGGTGCAGTCAAATATTGTCAAACTTTTTGATGAGGATTTCAAAAGAGAACTAACTGTCATGTATTCAATGAAATATACAAGAGTGGAAAAATACCCAATGAATGGCTGAGATCGGGAGTTTATGGTTCTCCCAAAGAAGCGGGGGGTCAAAAAGTGCAGTGCAGACTTCACTGCAAAGATCTATGAATAATTGAGAACTTATACTGGAATCAAGCAGCTTCCGTTAGAATTACCCACGCTAAAACAGAGGAAGTGCAAATCTTAAGAGGAGTACGCCAGGTATGTATATTGTCATCTCTCATATTCAACATGTACTGAGAGGCAATTTTCCAGGAAGCTCTAGAATATATGGAAGCAGGAGTACTACTAACTGGCGAACGAATAAACAACTTCAGATATGGCGATGACACCGTCATATTTGCAAACACGGCATAGGGACTGTAGCTTTTATTGGACAGGGTAGTTGTAATAAGTAAGAAATATTGTCTAGAAGTCAACACCAGTTAAGCAAAAGTCATGGCAATTAGTAAGGAAAGAATTGGAGAAGTAAAGCTTACCATCAATGAGAAAGCGGTAGAACAAGTGTCATCATACACATATCTCGGCACAGTTATAAATGAACAATGGGATCATTCCCAAGAATTGAAAAAGCAAGAACAGCCTTCAATCAAATTTTCAAATAAATCAAGACACATAATTTTAATTAATAATTCAGTATGGCATTGTAATAAATGGTGTAATAAATAAATAAGTAAATCGTGTCGTGGAAAAAAGTGTAAAGGTTTAATGAGATCCCGAAATGCTGAAATTTTAAATATAAACATTCATAGTACTTGACCTCTACTCTAACGCTCATAAGATATACTGAATGTGGCTTGGCTCATATCATGGAGTAAATGATGCTTGAATCTTGAATTATCTGGTAATTTTTGACCAAATTTTATAGCTGCAACATTTTTAACTGCAGAGCAAAATGGAAAAAATGATAAGTCGGCTTAATTAATTAAAAAAATGTCCAGTTTGCTAAACACGATAGGGGTAAAAATAATTGACTTGAAAGATTAAGTATAATTAAATAAGATAATAAACCGTCAGAACCTGATCTAATTAGTTGAAATGGTTGATTTTAGCTTTAATTGGCAGACAATTGATAAACGTTGCTCCCCTGAAAGATCCTTGTAGAGCTTCATGCAGTGCTTTTATAAGGATAAATCATATTTTGATATACACGCGCAAAATAGCACGTATGACTTCCAAGATCATTAAATAAAGCTGAAGGCAGAGTTTTGATCTCGCCGTCAATTCTAAAGAGTAAGCGATCCTTGGAAAACAATTTTTTGGAATGTTTACATCGACTAAACAGAAACAGTAAAAGCTTTGTTTAACTTAATTATGTATCTCTAATACTTGACGGGAAGTTTCCTTTCAGACTAAGCTGGCGATATGGCAGACTTAAGCTTTAATGTATCTAATAACAAGACTATGCTTGCGATAGTACTGTAAGTTCGACCTGCTTTATCCCTTGTTATTAAATACATCGAACGGCCCGAAAAATAACTTCCTGCTTGTTTCCATATAGTTCGGAATATGTGTTCTACCGGGGCTAACGATCCTTCATCTATTGTGCATCTCTAACTACTGGCGTTTCCTTTATCGAGCTTTCAAAGTGTCACATTGTTTAACTGGCACGTAATGGGGCCTTTTCAACTTGCAGCCCGTGAATAATGAAAACGCGAATTCTTGCCTCCATCGCATAAACTAGTGCTTCCAGGCAAATATGGCTCATTATTTATTTATAGGACGCACGGAGCCATGGCATAGTTATGCATCTTTTCGGGCCGCCCATCAGCATTACGGTTCAGAAGTGGAAGTGAATTGCAATATTGTGTGCTTTCGAACCAACAAAATATATCGATAGGTATTCTGAATGCAGAAGCGTGCAATTCCACTCTTCTCGGCCAGCTGAAGTTAAGTATGAAGACAAATATTCAAAATTATCAAACATTGCAGTACAGTCAATAGAGTTAGGCTTGCCCTCGACCACTGCTTGAAATTTGTGAGTTTGCTCGGGCCTCTGGGCCGTTGTGAATAACTTTCTGATATTAAATTTGTAGCATTTTCAAAGGCGGTTTTGTCCATCTGCTTAATTCTTTTGAGCAAAGAACTTTTGAAACGGCATGCTATTGATGCTTGCGAAACACCATGTAGAGATTCTATTTTAGGACTATTATTATTCCTTATTATTATTAAATAACTTTAGCTATCAGTTACAACCTGCGCCAAAATTGCATAACGGGTCAGTAAACTAGCATGTAGATTCCGCACAAAACTTTAAGTGAAACCATCGCCTAACGGTGGAACCTATTTGATGAATCTGTTTCTTAACATCAGTTTTTCATCTTTTGCAGCTTTTACATGTCGACATAAAGAATCAAGCAATATTTATACGTTCTTTCGGAAAGAACACATGCCATGATAAACCGACGACCGCTTAAGTTTTGAATGCTCATAAAATAAGTTTATGAAAATCTGAAAACTGATCGATGCAATAATTGCGACATAATCAAAACATTTCTTGGAATTGTCCATCTCAAGTCAAAAAAGCAATCAAAATGACCAGATTTGGAACTCCTTAAAGCTGTATAACATCTCTTTAGCCTGGTGACTCTATTTTAATAGATTTTTTAAAGTGCATGAACGCAAATCTTCAGAAAAATTACATTTTGGAAGTGTCGTTAATTGCTCAATCTTTTGGTAGGCTATTTTTAAGCAAACGTAGTTACATCTGCCTTTCATAAACATCAGCAAAGCACATTCATATTTAATTATTTATCATTTTTCATCTGTTCAGCAAGTTGCACTCTGTGGTCTGTGTGAGCTGACAAAAAGTCTTCCATTCAGCAAGTTTTGTTGCAACCTAAGTTTCGCTTCTGAACAAGGCGTTAACAAATATGGCTCAAATCCGCACGTCTGAAATAAGTATACGTTTTAAACTTTGCTGTATTTATTGCCTTAACTTAAAATACAAAGACGCGCAGTAGTTCTTCTATAAATTATATTGAGTGGTAATTTAGTTGCTTACAATCGTTTTCCTAATAAGGAAAATTTAGACGGCATTGAATTCAATATTGTTAAAAAAGTGTAGCATCCTATAAATTGGTTTTGCGTAATGGGCAATTTGTTAGTAAACATTGCTCAAAACTTCTAATCTGGAAAAGCCGTAATTCCATTAAAAATATATTTTAATATTAAAAATGGGCGTAAGTCTGTTTAACTCTCGAATAATGAAGCGAAAAGATTTTATAATTACATCGGTTTTTGCTTTTTTTAAATTTCGCAGAGGTTTATTGTGCAACAACTAACAACTTTAAGTTTTTTTACTTATGCTTTATTATTTTGCGTAATATTATGTTTAAAACATTTTCAACATAAAAAAAATGCTCAACCTACTTCCACCAGACTTTCTTGCAGATATATTCAGAATGTTTAATTCATGTAATTTTTTTGAAAGAGCTAAAGCAATTGAGCGATTCGTTAACAATCTTAGTCAATAGATAGACACAAGGAAGAAGGTTGAGGCAACAGAAATATATATGCCGCTCCTCATATTGAATAAGAGAGTAAAAGAGAATAAATATTTTTAAGCTTATTTCTTATTGTTTGATATGGTTTTCTTCGTGTCGGAGCTTTCAGCCTGCTTCAATGGAGCGAAAGTACTGCATCGGACAAAAAAGTTTCCGGTAATGAACAACTTGTTATTCTGCGTTACTTAAAACATCTAACTGAAACTACTGTAACATTTTATTTACTTTGTAATTTGCAAAACTTTAATTTAATTCAAGTTAAAATTTGGTATTTGACGCAGACGCAGGTTATTTGAAAATACTTGAATAATTCGAAAAAAAAACCTTTCTGAATCAAACTCTGCTTATACGTGTACAGATTGTTAAAAAAAGTTTGCCAATACTCGAATTATAATCCGTTAGTTTAAAATGAAACATCAAGACCTAAAAGAATAAAAATAAATGTTTAGCAGTTTTTTTAACCGTTATCTTGAAGGGTACATTGATTCTGCAGGATCGGCAAGTCATTTTACGCAGCTTTTGAGTTTTACAACAGTATTTGATATAAGATATTTATCTGGAGATGTTTCCTCCAGAAATTTTTCATGATTTAACCGGATCGATTTTTTCAAAAATTGTAGCGCGTTTCAACCGTTATTTAGAAACGCAACATATCTGCTATTGGCAAGATATCTCTAACGTACAAGTGACAAACTGTTCAGACAAATTCAGCTTTAATTCACTTTTACTATTCTTTCAATTCTATTGACTTTCTTCCTCCAGCTACTGACACTTCAGAAAAATGTTTCCTGTGCAAAAAGTACTGAAGCCAATAAATGATGAGCCAGGGTATTGATGAAAAAGCTATCGAATCCTTGATGAAAAATCAATCATTGATGCAAAAGCTACCAGCTTCACTAGTATTTTGAACTTTAAGCACGAAATTTTTGGTTTTGTTTTATCTTCGATATAAAATATGCCTCCCTTCCATTCCGGTTGTGTCAAATTACGAAACAAAAATTCCAAATAAATCAAATTTTTACCTTCGAGTAGTCGGTCGCAGTAACTTCCAACGCTGAGTTTGCCCCTGTAGGTCCTTTGGGTTTGGTTTCCGTAACGGAGCTTCGCGTCCGATAATTTCAGAAACTTATATGAAAGTTTAAACTGGAAGCTGTAGCCGGAACTTTGCTGAGGAAAAATGAAAAACCAGGTTAAAAGTTATTGGCGGTAGTAGAGAACAAAGTCTACATTTGCAGTCGGTGTGGATTATAATAACAGTCCCATCCGGAAAATGAAGTGGCAAAGGTGGCTGGAGTAATTTTCAGAAAGAAAAATGCTGCCAATTTTATATTAAGATTTATTATTAATTTAAAGTGTACATTTTATAGAATCCAGATTGAAAGGAACTGAACATTATCAAGTATTCTCTGGAACGAACAAAGTTAAAAACAAAGCCTTATCGATTCCAGCCTAACACGATCGAGAATTTGAAAAGTAATTACGAATTTACGTGTTTCAGTATTAAACAATCATTTTTGCGACACTCGCTCACCAACTTTATTGTATGGAAAAGAAAACAAGTTAAATCTCATTAAAGTTCTAAGCTTCTAAGCCTTAAGTCCGGAAGTTTATAGGACTAACAGGAAAACTTTGATTTAAAAGTTTTGTTCCCGTTTCAAGTTAGGTGACAATATCGGTTCGGGTCGCCCCTTCAAATTGAACGATATAGTTTTAAGGGATTTTCGCTACAACTTTGTTTTTATCTTGTACTATTTATGTTGTAAAGTAAGATAAAAAAAGCTTTCCTCACGATTGAAGGCTTGGAAATTGTTTTCATTTTGACAACAATTTTACAAGGCATTTTGCATCATTTTTATAACTCCGAAAGTGCTTTGCAATTAATTTTTATTCCTTAATTTGGAAGCTTTGTGGTTATCGTGATCCTAGAAGGACAACAGTTCAAGTCATATTCGCAACAAAATCGAGTTAATTGCAAAACTGTCGATATGAAACTGGCATTTTGCTTGTAGTGAAAGGAGAATTAGATTTCCATGATCAATGAGTAAAAAACGTTGTTACAGAATATTTAAAATGTGCTGGAGGACAAAAATCGAGTGGACTTAACATCGCCACCAAAAGTTCAGCTTTATTTTAAGTTTTCCACTTATTATGGCAATGAAAATCGTGAAAAAGTATAGGGACCTTGTTTCGATATTCAGCAAATTCTTCCTAAGCCGATTTTTTACTTCCGACATGGTTTATTATTTGATGTAAATATGCATAAAGAACTTTTGAGATTTTATATGGTTTCCGGAAAATATTCAAGGTTTGTGTGGAACGAAGCCACATTACTAAACAAATTGAGTTCGCAATTCTGACTAATATTTTGACTGGCTTATTTTTGAATCATGAAGGACGTTCGAAACTTTAAAAACACTTAAAGGTTGTTCGCTTATTTGTCGAGATATACAGGGTGGCCATTTTTTGAATCCTTGTGTGGGTAACTTCTACATTTTTAAAGATAGGGAATCCGTTAAATGGGCAAAATTGGGCAGAATTCGATTGCCTATTCATTACCGTTTTCAAAATTTAGTTACCCAACTTGATTTCTGAAATATCCTGAAAAGGCAAGAAATCAACACTTTTTAATTATCATATAATTCGTAAACTGCTTAAGTTAGAAAAAAAGTTTTAAATGTCTTTGGTAGAACTTTTTGCGTCGAATTCAATAAACGAGCACTCGTTGTTATAGTCTACTTGATTTACGAGATAACAAATAAACTTATGTTTTTTAAATGGTAATCATAGTTGGCTATGGGCCTCTTAAAATCCTTATTTTTTTCAAGTTAACAATGTAACTGTTTGTATGTTTTTCTCCTTGTGTTGCCGTAAAACCTCAAAAGAAGATAAAAAAATGTGTAGTAGGCTATGGAAACAAGAACTATATTATCACACAAAGCACAAAACAAAAATGAAATTATTAACAGACACAATCATGTTTACTGGGCTAATGAAAATCATCATCTAATTGAAAATAGGCGAGATCAACGTGTTTTTTTTGTGAATGTCTGGTGAGGTAGTTTAAGTGATAAAATTATTGGTCCATTCTTTTATAATCACAATTTAAATATGGAAATATATTTACACTTTTTACCAAATAAACTTGAAGACATGTTGAATAGTTTTCCGTTAGCATCGTATCGAAAATTGGCATATTTTCAACATGATAGTGCACCTTCACACAACTCACTAGTTGAATGTGAAGTTGCCAAAAATGCCTGGATGTAAACGGAAGTTAATTTGAACATTTAATTTAAACGATTCATTATTGTTTTGTGCTTTGTGTGATAATATAGTTCTTGCTTCCATAGCGTACTACACATTTTTTATCTTCTTTTGAAGTTTTACGGCAACAAAAGGAGAAAAACATACAATCAATTATATCGTTAAATTCAGAAAAAAAAGAAGGATTTTAAAAGGCCCACAGCCAACTATGATTACCGTTTAAAAAAACTAAAGTTTATTTTTTATCTCGTAAATCAAGTTGACTATGATAGCGAGTGCTAGTTTATTGGATTCAACGCAATAAGTTGTACTAAGGGCAGTTTTAACTTTTTCTCTAAGTTAAGCAGTTTACGTAATATGTGATAATTAAAAAGTGTTGATTTCTTGTCTTTTCAGGATATTTCAGGAACTAAGTCGGGTACCTAAATTTTGATAACGGTAATGAATAGGCAATCGAATTCTGTCCAATTTTGCCCATTTAACGGATTCTCTATCTTTAAAAATGTAGAAGTTACCCATACAAAGTTCCAGAAAATGGCCACGCTGTATAATAGAAAATATACCTACTAGTAAGTGTATGTATTAGACCAATAGTTTATAAACAATTCAAGTACCAAACCGCATTTGCAAGATTTTCAACCCCATAATGTCAACACGGTATCTTTTCGATGCATGATAGAACTTTCTAGGCAATTAATTTTTGGGCAACATTTTCCTGGTTATAGGTTCTAACTGCAGAAGTTTTTATAATAATGTAGATGTTTTGTGTCGTGTCCTAAGGAATAATAGAGATTGGCATGTGCTTGTTTGTTTTGTTGCAAAGTTACGTTGTTTTTTATATATTTTTTCTTGCAAATGCGTCAGCTTTAAGCGAATGTTTTTTCTATTTCTTAGGTCCGCAGTCTTTGTGTATAACGTGGGCGAAGTAGGAAGTATTGTTGTAAATTGAATAATTAGAACACGTGAGAGAACCAGGCGTATTACGAAAAATATGCTTCCCGATTTAATTTACTTGAACCCAACAATAGCTAACAAACGGATGCAAAAAAAGTGGAACATCAGAACAAAAATAGGAATTTTATGATTACGATGGGACCATAACAGTAAAAAGTTTACTGGTCCAGCGGGGCCGGCCGTAGTATTCGACTTAAGCACCGATACGAAGAAATACTTTTTAAAATTCAATTTCAGCCCAAATCCGCTGTCGGGGTTCGCAAAATAAAAGGACGGAGATTTCATTTTCGATTTCTTTACACTTGTCGTCTGTGCGAACACGATTCATACTTCGATTATTGCTATATCCCAAATACTCATGTTGTTTTAGTTCGTTTATTTGCACCGTTCTACAGAAGATCATCGAAATAATAAAATTACAAATCCAATACTATTCGAAGGAAGAATTAAAAATGAGCAAGGTGAGCGAAGTGTGAAGAAACAGAAACAAAATATAATTAGCAGGAAGCCAAGTTCCATGTCGGCAATTAATCCTCGGTCAAAATTACATAATATTACACAATTTTTACACCCAGAATTCAGCAAGCGACAAAAAAGATTGATAAGGATGGATTCATCCAGCCTGGAATAATTTATTAACTGCAATAATTCATAATGTCTGTACGTTTTAACAAAATATCTTTCTCATCTTCAAGCCCCATATATTTCTAATAAATAAAGTACTTTTTATTTTTATATCAATCTAAGAAAGCACTAACCTGTTGGGGAATCTTATTCAAAGCCAAGGTGAGGTTGATACTAGAAGTCTCACTGTAATAGACGGTATAGCCCCAAGCGCTTCCGCACCATTTGCCACCTGAGGACGGTCGATTAGCTTCTTTGATTGATATGTAACCATCGGGACATCCCGATACGGTGAACGACTCGAATGCGCCAATTGAGAATGCTTCAAATGATATCTGCAACACGAACCATATTTTTTCAGTCTTCGGATTAATAAGCAGACAGGCATCCTGTTTAAATACAAAACCAGTTATTTTTTATTTTAATCTCCGATTACTTGGTGCAGACGAAAAGCTCAATAAAGCTATATTTGTGTTCAAAATAATCTATTGCTAAAGCAGCTTTCGAAGCCCGAAAAAAGTTGATAAAATTTTTGTGTAAAACTAATATCCTTCTTAGGCCCATTGCTTCCAGCAAAATAACAAATCATAATATTCCCTTAATGTATGCTATTGTTAGCATTCTCTTTTATGCTGTTTGGTTGCGAATCACTGACTTCTCCTGAGTTTGTTATCGTTAAAATGAGTTTAAAATTACTGAAATTAAAAGGGCATCACGTAGTACAGACACGTTAGGGCGTCATGCTACGTGACTGGAATGCATTTTCCATTTAAGACGCCATTCTTTTTAAAGCGTCAGTTTATTCCAACAAACGTGAATAGTATGCATCTTATCTTCCTGAGCCGAAATGACTTATATTAATTGGAACTTTATATGCCGGATTTTTAATGCATTGAAAATGGAATTGAACGAATACGAAAGTGCAGGGTTTTGGTACTCCGTTATATCAAGCAGGTGATTGTGTGTTAATAAATTTACAGAAAAATGTGCTGAGAAGCCTTCTCCAATTTGATGTTCTTAGTTGTATATCCAAAAGCTAAAAATACTGACTAGTAGATTAATTTTTTCAACCCCATTTTCTATTATTCTGCGTCATTCTTAGTACTCTCTCTCAAATTTTATTAATATTTTCGCTTTTATTCTAATGATTAATGTACATTGTTAAGGTATCGTAGTGCCATTAGCACACAGAACTGTCAAAATATACTTTCCTGCATTTTAAACTAAATTTGTCGAAGTTTGTCAAAATCTGCTTTTCGTGCGTTTTTAGAAAAAGCTTTGCAACCTATACATCTGCTTATGATTATTCTTTACTTCAGTTGAACAATAAAGCAGTTATTATTATATTTATATTGAAAAACCATGAAAAATATTCGTGAAAGGCGATATGCTATTGCGTCATTACCAGCTTATTAACCCTGGCACACTAAAGCCTCCAAAGCTAATAAACAATTTAGTCAAATTAACCAAAACTTCCAACTTTATGAAGTTTAGCAGCGCGAGATGAAATTAATATTAATTAGGGAACTTAGTATTCGCTAAATTATGTGGTCGAAGGCGCAAAGTTCAACTCTAAACAAATTAAACTCTTAAAATCCCTTAGCAGTTACAGCTAACAGAGTAAATCACGACTTTATTAGCTACATTGGATACGCTTTGAGAATCCTAATTTGTATTCGGTTAATTGCTGTTAGATACGGTATTAAATAACTACTTATTTATTATTTATTTGTTGAAATACTCCAACAACCACCACCTAAGCAGTAAATCTATGATAGAGCGCTTATTACTATAATAACAATATTTAACAAAAATCTATACTAATCTAACACTGCCAAACAAACTAAATAACCCAAAAACAGATACATTTACAATCTGCTAGACATTAATTCTAAAAATCACTGAAAAACTGTCATTTAAAACTTTTAAAGTATTTTTTAATAACCCTTACACTGCAGTTAAAAAATCCAAATTACAACAATCTTTCAATAATTTATTACACTGACTCTGCATGTGGTTTACAGGGGATATACTAAAAGGACTGCAAGAGAAAAGGTCACAAGTATTTGATCTCAAATTAATCTTTGGCACATGAAATCTTACAAAGATAATCAAATTACACGATGGATATCTAACACCATTGACAACATTATACAGGAATAAAACACAATGCATGGCTCTTCTTTGTTCCAACGACTGCATATTAAAGATCATAAGCAAGTGTGTTGTTGGCATAAGGTAAGGATATACATTGTATCTTTTAAGATACAAGTGCCTAAGAAACCTTTTCTGTACTTTTTCAATTAAATTAATGCTTGATTCAGCTTGAGGAGCCCATATGATGCATACTCGAGGTGTGGTCTCACCAATGCATTATACAAACGAATTCTAGTATCTGTATGAAAATGCTTAGAATTCCTAATCACAAACCCCAGAATCTTGAATGACTTGTTTGTTATGTTTGTATAATGTTCATCAAATCTCAAACTCGCTTGCAGATGCACTCCCAGATCTCTATATGTTGTCTTTCTGACTAGAGCGCGCTTGTTTACATTGTAATGAGCATGAATAAAACTTAGTTTACGTGTAAAGGACAAGACCCCACATTTTTCTTCATTCAGGAACATACCATTGTCCTTAAACCAATTGGAGGCCGCATTAAGATCTTCCTGCAGTTCTAGGCAATCCTTTAAGGTGCTCACGACCCTAAAGAATTTAAAGTCGTCTGCAAAACCCAGACCGCAAGAATATCTCAAACAATCCGGTAGAGAACTAATGAAAATAAGAAAAAGCAATGGCCCCAAGTTGCTTCCTTGAGGAACTCCCGAGGTGGCTTGAAACTTTTTAGAAAGGCATCCACCAACCTTGACTTGCTGAAACCTTAAGTAAAAGTATGGTCTTTCAAATTATATTTCAAATAGTTAATAACCTGTGAAAACCATTAGTCCCAAAAATAAGTGAAAAAAAAATTAAATAAACTTACTGTTTCGAAAAAAAAATTGCAATAGATGGTAGAGTTGAAAAGTTGAAACAGTTACAATTAGAAAACGGTACTACCTAATGTTGTGCTGACTGCATTCAATACATATTTTGCTTGTTTCAAAAGTCACTTTAGTTTACGCAGTGCAACCATTGAAAAATTGTAACATCGGGGGGAAAGGGGAAAGGGGAAACATCGGAACAAAGAAATAGATAAATAAATTCCTGCAAAATATAGAAATTTGGTGTACATTTGTCAAAAACTCAATATGGAAATTAAATATTATAAAAATGTCGAGAATGTCCTGTGTGGGGGTCTACTTCTTCGATATAATCATAACTTTTATCAGTTGTGGAATACAAACTGTACTTATAAATACAAATTATGACATAATTATAAAATTAAAAAACTTCATTGAAGTCCGGAAAGCAAACCAAAACAAAGTAGAAGGTCTAACCGTAGCTGTTAAGCTGAATTATAAATTAACAAAAAACTACTGCCGAAGTAAATATTTAGAAAGTTGAAAACTATATTAAATCCTCGGAAATAGATCCTAAAAAACCCGAAATATCCAAATAATGTCCTTGCCAAAGTTTTTACTTGATTACTATTATGTCGAGAATTTATAAATTATATCAAACCTATATGAGGACGATGTTCAATGAGTGCAAAATAAACCATTTATATTTACTTCAAATATACTTTTTGGTTTTTTCCACTAAATAATGAATTCATTATCCCTTTTCGCAGCATAAAAGCTGACAACGAAAAACATTTTTGTATTCTGCTTTTTCTCTGTAGCAAATTAGCAAAAATGGAGCAACCTTGCTGAAAATAAATATTCGGATTCACTTTAATACAACTATATTAAGGCGAAGTTTAATAAGAAGTAACATTACCTTTCGGCTTTTATACATTTTGGCATTGAATCCACTAGAGTCTGGTAATATTCTGGGTTGAGCGACTTCCAAATTTCAGTTATTTTTGCCTTTCATCCCGGAACTGTTCGCTAAGGAGCGTAACCAATGATTTCTTCATTTGATGCCATAAAGTTTTTATAATATTCAAGTCCGGACTGCTTGAGAGCCACGATAAAAGTTTGAAGTAATGATCTACACTCCACTATTTGATCGTTTTAGCTGTGAGGAAAACCGCACCATCCTGTTGAAATATGCATTCTTTATTTAAAAAATGTTGTTTCATAGTTGGAATTAAACTTCTTGATAACATTTGTTGGTACTTCTGTATTTATAGTTCCATCAACAAACTCAGATTTACCAATGCGATTACTACTCATGCATCCCCATATTTAACCTCTTGGAGAAATTTTGCTTTACGATTTAGACAGTATTTATGAAAGGCCTCTGATTTTGTTCAAAATACATACTTTTTCTCCGAAATTCACCTACGCATATGTCAATTTTTGATTCCTGCGGTACAATTCCGTTGTCCCGCATATTCTAGATTTACTCGAATTCAAACTTTTTTGCTTTTGAATAGCTAGAAATAGTGGCTTTTCCTTTGCCTAAACCGAAAGGAGATCAAAAAATATTATTATTTTTTATTGAATACTAAACTAAAGTAATCCTAAAATAATAAACCTTCTTTATAAAAACTGTAACCTGATTTGTGCAGCCATAATCTAGTTCAATCGCACGATTCATTTAAAGTTGCTTTCTGATTCCAGTGAGCTTGAATGTGTCGTAGGGTGCCTCTTCTGTTGGATCTGCAGATCTTTACATGAACACAACGTTCTCTTTGAAGAGATAATGCGGGGTCGGCCTGAACTTTTACCACTAACAGCAACACTAGTAGTCCCCCCGAACGTTTTTATGAAATGAACACAATGAAAAATATTTAGATCATTTGAAATTTTCTGCATTGATTTGCCTTTACCGTTTTAAGAAATTATAATTCATTGCTTTTTATCTGTTGCAGCACCACGCGTCATTTTCAAACTGATAGATATTAATCTAAACTAACTTAGTTTATGAGCAGATGCATGCGTAAAATTGATTTTCCTGGTAAATCAAATGCACGTCCGAATATATTTTTGTCATGAATTTTTTAACATTTCTACTATTTTATTTTGTAGTTGTTGAGAAATGAAAATGTAATGCGTTAATATCTTACTTTAATATACACTATTTTTCAACTGCAAAGAATACAAATTAAACTGAACATGGCTAACATAAGATGAAAGATTTTAGACAGACGCATTAAAGTAGCCAAACAAGAAAATTGAGTCAAAAATACGTAACATTCTCTACAAGTTGCAATGCATAATAAATAAATTGTGTTGCAGCTAAACAAATTTTGTAAAAGCTACAAATCAATTTAAATGTGTGCTCTGCA